GGTGAACCTTATTTGGCATAATGTCCATTTGGCATAATTTTCATTTGGCTTAATGTCCTTTTGGCATAATTACTCATTGGCATAATTTCATTTGGCATAATTTTCATTTGGCATAATTTTCATTTGGCATAATTTTCATTCGGCATAATTGTCATTTGGCATAACGTTATTTGGCATAATGTTATTTGGCATAATTTAGCCTGTTTATGCATGTCACACAACATCACAGGTAAAGACAAAGACAAGGAAAAAGACGCTGCTGGGTGGAATAGACCCGCGGGGGGTTGGGACTACTTCGGTTCTTCTTCGAACCGCGTTGGCGCATCTTTTCGTACTTGACATCGATCCGAACTTGATCGCCACCCAATTCCTTGAGGAACTGTCAATTGTTGTTGTGGGAATTGTTGATTTGGCGAGCGAATTATGCCAAATAACATTATGCCAAATAACGTTATGCCAAATGACAATTATGCCAAATGAAAATTATGCCAAATGAAAATTATGCCAAATGAAAATTATGCCAAATGAAATTATGCCAAATGAAAATTATGCCAAATGACATTATGCCAAATGAAAATTATGCCAAATGACATTATGCCAAATGAAAATTATGCCAAATGACAATTATGCCAAATGAAAATTATGCCAAATGAGCGTAAATCGCCCTTTTCTGGGCCGGGTGGTTGGCAGAGACCCTTTGGGATATCGAACTTACGAAAACTTATAGCGGGCGAACTAGCAGATATTCTTTGGGCACCAAGGAACTCTGAATTTCAGATGGTGGAACCAATTTAAATGCCTTGATTGGCCTGAAAACTTACTCTCTGTGTTGTGCATGATGATCCCGGGGAACGATGAGAAGAGCCTGAAGCGTCGCCATAAAATTGCCAGATACCTCAACTTGAGCTCGGCGTTGGCTTGGTAAGCTTCGTAAGGGCTTTTTAAAGCCCTTACGAAATTAAAGATATTAAAATGACAATCTCCTCAAAATTCAGGCGCGAGCTGTCGATCCAACTGCGTGCAAAGTATCCTAACGTCCACGACCTCGTCGCTGGAGGCCTAATGACGGAAAATGAGTTCGAAGCCTTGGAGGAGGTTCAGGTAATTCTATTTCCACATTATCCTTTCAAAGCTGTCGCATGTTCCAGGCAGGTTGCCCTTCCGTACGCTGGATGGCGCCATTACACTGGGTCCAGCTGATTTTACAGGAACAAATGGCTGTAATGCATACCTAGAAGATTTTTATTTCGCTTTAGGAAGATGAAAAGGGCAGTTCAAATTATATGAAAGCTATTATTGGAGGTAAATCTTTGGAAATCGATGACTTTCTGCCATTTTTAGAGCTAATGTCATTCCGCGAATCGTTTCGAGAACTTTTCTGCTACGATTGGGTGTGTATGCCGCTAGTTTACACTCAGGTAATAAAAAACTTCTACTTTTTCATGATGCAAGCCAAGGTAGCTGCTCTAGCCACCTATTCTTTCTTCATATTCTGTTTATTTGGGCGTCAGTTTACTGGAGAAGGGGTAGGGACTAAGGTAACCAAGTTGTGATGACATTTTAGGATGATTTATTCTTTCCAATATTTTTGACGGTCGAATTCTTGTTTTTTTGTTGGATGGCTAAAAGTAGGTCTTGCATTTTCTAGTTTGTCTCGTGGCTCAAAACCTCATTGAGCTATTATAAAGTGCTGGAAAAGCTTCTTCAGGTCGGCCGCGAACTCATGAGGCCTTTTGGTCGCGGTGATGATGACATTGAGCTTCACTGGATTTTGGATCGAAATATTGCCGTTTCATTCGCCATCGTACACAAGCTACAAGGCGCTGGATTACGTAAGCTTACTTAGAGTGTATTTCTCAGGCATAGCCGATTTTCACGAGCTTTATTACAGCCAAGGAAGGCAAAGACGACATTTTTTGGCAGCGGCGCACCGAGAAAATGGAAGTGCCAATCACTGGACAAAACGAGACAATAAAACCGCATAAGCCGAAGCTACACGCTTATTTGAGGTCTACCCAAGGTAGCCTTCGGAACAAGATAATTCAGGATCCCTCACCATGGCCCCCACGAACACGACTCATCACCAGATCGGGATTCTCACCGGTAATCTGTTGGTGCATTTTGAACAGGGGTTCTGTTTTAGACGCCTGAACTGGTAGACGATCGAGACAATGATCCTGACACTTGCAAGGCAACATGCAAACCAAATTACATTAGTTTCAATAAAGAATGTCCTGTCTAATGGCATTCCACAGCTCTGACAAACGCCAGTTACAACAAAGAACCATTCATACAACATTTCGCGGAGGACGGAATTTTACATCCCTGGCTCCTCGTTCCTAGGTGACGTTTCGCAAGAAAAACTATACTAGTAGAATTTCTTTTCTATGGGCAATACCCGTATATACTCGGGTTGTTTACGCGCGGTCCGCTGTGATCATATGGGGATGATAAGTTGCCGGAAAAAGTGAAATCATGTGCGGATAAGTCGAGATCAATCTGTTGTTGATCCTCGTCAGTTACCTATCGATACTTTTACTGAGTGGCGCTGGTTTCTGTTCTAATTATATTGATTTTAACGATGCTCGCAGAGTAAACCAAGATTTTTATCAAATCGTAAAAGATTCTGCCCATTTTTAGCAATGACTATCTCCTATTCTGGGGGCTTTTTTCGACTTCTCGCTCGCTGGGAGGGTTCCATTTGGAGGTCTACCTATAGAGAATTAATCGCATATATAATTTTCTACTACCTGATCAAGTAATTCCAAAGCTCTTGGTAATACACCAAAATTTTTAGAATTTTTTACCTTTATGGCATCGACGCAATTTATGAAGATTCATCAAAAGCCAAATGGCTAAGGTATCACAAACAGAATGTTTTTGATCCAGTTTGTTTTAGAAACTATTTTCAAGCATGCTGCCTACAATTTGGGAGTTATGCCAAGCAGTTGCCATTGACGTTTTTGCTTGGTTTTTATGTATCGAGTGTTGTGGCACGGTAGGTTAATTAGAGCAATTTTCTTACGATCCAACGTAGAGAGGCTAATCCTTAAAGGTACACTAAGGTCTCGTTGGTTTGGTTACCGGCCGGTAACCGTCGGCTGGATAGCAAACAGGGTTACGGTAGGCGCTCGCCGCGGAGCAAAACCAACCCCGGACTGCCGGTTTGGGCAGCGCCCTGGACCACTAGGCCATGGGAGAGACGGGAAGGGGGAAGGGCGAGAGGCAATAGGAAGGGGCTGGGTCGGCTGAGGCAGAGAGACCAAATTTCCTTCCGCGATCGAACTTTTTGAGCGAGATTTTAGTGTACCTTTAAGGGCCGGATCGTTCACTTAATTTCAGATGGTGGGGTCAGTTTAAATGCCTGGAGTGGCCAGAAAACCTGCTCTCCGCGCTGTGCATGATGATCCCGGGGAGTGATGAGAACAGCCAAAAGCGCCGCCATAAAATTGCACGATACTTGAATCTGACTTCGGCGTTGGCTTGGTGAGCTTCAGAGGACTCTAAGCTCTTATTTTCCTACATTCCAGGCGTGAACTATCCATTCAACTACGGGCAAAGTATCCTAGCGTCCACCATCTCGTCGATGGAGGGCTAATGACAGAAAATGAATTCGAAGCGCTGGAAGAGGTTCAGGTAGATTCTTAAAGTATCCTTGAGTTTTTGAAAATGCTTTCGAAAGTGCTATAATTGCAATGTAGGGCTTATTAAGCTCAAATGTTGTAAATTAACTCAAAATTGGGCATTTTTGAAGCGAATTTAGGCGGTCTGCCCCTCGGTACGCTGGATGACGCCATTACATTGGGTCCAGATGATCTTGCAAGAACATATTGCTGTAATTCCATGGATTTGAGGCTAAATTTATCTTTTGTAACTTTAGGAGGATCAAACTGGCAGTTCAAATTATATGAAAGCTATAATGGGAGGTAAGATTTTCGCGAAAGTTGACGAGAATCTGGCGATTTAGAATTAATGTCGTTTCGGCAGTCTTTCCGAGCGCTTTTCTGCTATGATTGGGTGTGCGTGCCGTTGGTTTATACTCAGGTAAGGGGCATTAACTTATTTTCTTTACTTTTTTAAGTTCTCTCCTCCTCGCGTAACGTTAGCGAAACTTTTGACCTTATAGTTTCCAGGTCGCCACCGTAGCCACCTATTCCTTCTTTATATTCTCGCTATTTGGACGTCAATTCACTAGTGCGGGGGTAAGATGGTATTTCTAATCACAGCTACCAAATTTTAGGATCACCTAATTTTTCCAATCTTCTTAATCGTCGAATTCCTATTCTTTGTTGGTTGGTTAAAGGTAAGCTCTTAGTTCATTAGAGTCATTGAAGTATGTATTCGCTAGTCGAGCGACGGTTTTAAAGCTACTACTTGCTTCTTTTAGGTTGGCCGAGAATTAATGCGACCATTTGGGCATGGTGACGATGATATTGAACTTCACTGGATTTTGGATAGAAATATTGCCGTTTCCTTTGCGATTGTACACAATTTACAAGCCGCTGGATTACGTAGGATATTATTGATTTGAATCTATACGATTATTATACCTTAACCAGGGTTGAAAAGCCGCTTCGCGACTTTTCAACCCTGGCCCCGTCTCATCCTATGATGTTCTTCATTTTGCATAATTGTGCCCCACCGAGGCTGAAAAAAAATGAAAAATGCGCGTTCTGCTCCTTTATATAGGCTACCGCCACTTCCGGTGTATGCTAATTGATTCCTAACAAAGAGGGTCTCGGATTTTTCAACAAAAACTAAAATTTAATGTCGAAAATAAGAGATTTTGATATATCTGATATGCGTGCAGTCATCTCCAGACCATTACGCTCCTAATGACGTATCAAACATGCCGTAACTACTCTCCTACTTGAGATACGACTGGAACAACCTGACGGAAGTTGCATGCAAAGTGGCACACACACACACACACAGACACTATTTTTTTATATATAGTAGGATTTTAGCCAAAGGCGATGAAGAGAACGACATATTTTGGCGAAAACGAGGCGAGAAAATCGAGATTCCTGCTACGGGGCAAAATGACAATATCAAGCCACGCAGGCCGAAGCTGCATACGTATCTCAGGTTCGTTTATGCGTTTAAAACGCTAATTAAATAAGTTTAGGATCCCCTCACGGAGGTCATAAAGGGCGGGACTTGGCGTCCGATGACAACGATTCTCATAGGTATATTGTTTGAGCGCGCCAAATATGTATCTTTTAGACACCTTAATTGGTAATGGACTGAGTTGTGATTTACTCATTCCTTCACTGAACGAAGCATATATATTTTTCAAGGTTTTGTTAATAAATATATTAAATATGAGTGTGGAGCATTCCACATTTATGCAAGTTACAGATCATAGATCTTATTTGTTGAATAATTATGTAATTACAAAATTGTACCTGCCAGTTTTTTAGCTACTTAAAATTATTGTTAGGGCTTTAGTCTAGACTTTTTTTGGTCAATGGCCAGAAGCCGAAGGTGGTTATTTACGAGACTAGCAGAACAGAAAGAGGGAGGGGCCAGCTGCCCCCATGTGGTCATGTTTGCAACGGCAGGCGAAAAAGGGCTAAAAGGCGGGGCAAAAGGGTAAAGAGAAGGGGTGTCCCGATGCTCAAGGAAATGTAAATATTTTCCACAAAACCCGCCCTCAGACGCGGGTGCCTATAAGCTCTATCTAAGCTTCTGGATACAGATGTCTGGATAGTAATTTATGGCCTTCACTACCAGGCTAGAAATATCTATTTTTAAGCTAAACTTAGATGGTTTTTACTTTTCAATACTTTTTTAAAATGTTCTAAACTATTTATAGGCATTTAGTTGTTTCAAATGTTAATAAATATCTTATGCTTAAATCTGAATTAACCATTGCTCAAAAAAACCTGTTTTCCCCTTTTCGAAACCGATTGCTGGATTTTCCGCCTGAACGAGTTTGTTTACCCCAGAAATTTTAGAGTGGTTTTTGTTTGCGTTTACGTTTACGTTCTGCTTCTGTTTCACCTTTTCTGCGTTCAATTTTGATAAAATTTTATAAAACCATGCCGAGTTGATTGGATTTTTTAGAAAAACATGACCATTTCCTACTCTGGTAACTTCTTTCGCTTGTTGGTTCGGTGGAAGGGCTCGATATGGAGGACCACCTACAAAGAACTTATCGTTTATTTGACACTTTTTTATGGTATTAAGTAAGTTACAGCCTATTTAAAACTGAACCTTTTATAGACTCTTTTACGAGTATGGTATCGAGATTTTGGTGCAGGATCAAAAACAAGTCGACGCGGCCAAGTAGGTCCAATTTTTGGCGACGCGGCCAACTTATATTCTTTCTTAATTTTCTTGTTCCTGCGGTAACCTAAAGATTAATTTAGAAACTATTTTCGCTCAATATGCGTGAGTTTCGAGACCTATACGAGGGGATTACCCTTGACGTTTTTGCTGGATTTCTACGTGTCGAACATGGTCAGTCGGTAAGGCTTTAGAGCTAACATTTAGATAATTATTATTTTTAACGTTGCTATAATAGCACTTTAAAGTAGCAATGTTCAAATATAACTTATTTTAGATGGTGGGGCCAATTCAAATGCTTGGAATGGCCTGAGGACATGATGTCAGCGCTGTGCATGATGCTGCCAGGGAATGATGAGAAAAGCCAGAAACGACGCCATACCGTCGCCCGATATACAGGGTGGGCAGAAAAAAAAGTGCCTGGTTTGCACTGAAATATCTCGCTGGGGGAAACGAATCGGACCATCGTTACCTCGCCAGAATGCTTAAATATGCTGGGTATGAAGAATAAACACAAGTTGTTTTTTATGATTTTTGACGACCCACTACTCGTTAAGAATTTTTGAACATTTTTGAAAAAATAGAAAACTTTGAAGAGGAAAATCATGGAACTTTTTATGAGTTAAGGGGACATGTAGGGTATCAAAATGAAGCTCTTGGAATGCGCTATCAAATCAGTGGTAAAGATTATCAATCGGTTTAACTAGCCGTCAATAGGAGCCTTCGGAAAATCGGCACTTTTGAAGGAATAACTCGAGATAAACTTTCTTTACCATCCGATCTTTCTGATATTTTGTAGTTAGCAATAAATAGATACCTGCTAACTTTTTGCATTAAGATGATCAAAATCCCGATCAAAAAATTTTTTGGCACTTTGCCAGGTCGGCGGAATTTATAAGTTCTAGGCTCTCATAGTTAAATTTATAATATGGTTATCTTTGGCAAACAGGATTACATCTAACAAATAGAAAAAGTTACCGTGGCAATGTGCTTTCTATGGTTAACTCGGAATCGTCCCTTCTGGAAAAGTGCCGATTTTCCGAAGGCTCCTATTGACGGCTAGTTAAACCGATCGATAATCTTTACCACTGATTTGATAGCGCATTCCAAGAGCTTCATTTTGATACCCTACATGTCCCCTTAACTCATAAAAAGTTCCATGATTTTCCTCTTCAAAGTTTTCTATTTTTTCAAAAATGTTCAAAAATTCTTAACGAGTAGTGGGTCGTCAAAAATCATAAAAAACAACTTGTGTTTATTCTTCATACCCAGCATATTTAAGCATTCTGGCAAGGTAACGATGGTCCGATTCGTTTCCCCCAGCGAGATATTTCAGTGCAAACCAGGCACTTTTTTTTCTGGCCACCCTGTATTAATTTGACGGCAGCCTTGGCTTGGTAAGTCTACTACGGTCGTTCAACAGCGTTTTAGGCGCGAAGTCTCGAGCCAAATCCGCTCTAAATACCCGAAGATGCGAGACCTTGTCGAGGGCGGGTTGTTGACGGAAAATGAGCTGAACGCACTGGATGATATCCGGGTTTGTATCCTACTTTGTAGTCTAGAAAAAATGGTAGAAAGAGTAGCGTGTGGTTTCGTATTTTTTAATTATTGTTTTTTATGAATTTCAGCATTCCTGCCCGTCCGTTCGTTGGATGGCTCCGTTGCATTGGACCCAGAAGATTTGCCAGGAGACGTTGGACGTAAGGAGGCTGTTTGTCTTTTCCTTGTCACGATTTGTTCATATGTTCAATTGATTGATTGATATAAAGCTTAATAACTTTTATTAAAGTTTTCTAAATCTTTCAGAGAAATCGTGCGTCAAATGGGGTCTGTCCTGACGACATCAAAAAAGTTTTGGCTAGCCCTAACCCTTGCTTTTCTTTTCTTAGGCGAAATGAATACTAATAGGGGGTTATTGGCACTTTTTTAGGTTTTTATCACTAACATCACGGGCTTAGCTAAAATCCAGGTTTTTAGGCAATGAATAAAACTTAGAAATATGTTAAGTTTTGGACGTCGCTACCTTACTTTTTATCATTTCAGGACGGCCCGGACAACACGAAATTTGTGGGCGATTTCCTATCAAGTATGGTTTTTCAATTACATCATTTTTTTGCAGAACTTAACACGTATCGACAATCCTTCCGCAACTTATTTTGTTATGATTGGGTGTGCGTACCGTTGGTTTATACTCAGGTAACTCTTAGAAATGTCATTACCGTAACAAAAAGCGTTCCAGATAGCCGTTCTGGCTACATATTCCTATTTCTTCTTTTCGCTATTCGGTCGTCAATTTTCTGATGAAGGGGTAATTTTAAACTGCATTTAAAGTATATTTAGATGTTGAAATTTTGGCTTTTCATAGATACGAACTGTTTTTAGGCAGAATTGACCTTCCCCTTATTCTTGGTCATCGAGTTCCTCTTCATCGTCGGTTGGTTGAAGGTACAAAACTACAAAATACACCTAACAACGTCATTTTCGTGCAGGTGGCTCACGAACTGATGCGTCCATTTGGGCATGGGGATGATGATATTGAATTGCACTGGATTTTAGATCGAAATATTGCCGTGTCGTTTGCGATTGTGCACAAGCTGCAAAATACGGAGAGGCGTAAGTTTTAGACTATGGTTTTTGGCTTCGCAAACCCTTTAAAGGCAAAAAATGCAATTTTATTAAAAAATATTTTCCAGCAAAGGGCGGTGACGATGATTTATTCTGGAAAAATCGCCACCTAAAAATCGTGGTCCCAAAAACGGGCAATAACGAAAAAGTGAAACCCGAACGCCCGAAGATGCATTCGTATGTGAAGTACGCGACTTTGTTAATACTAACACTTTCTAGCCTTGCCGCTAACCAACCATTACTGTCCAAAAAGGCCAAAAAGAACTTTCATAGAATCCCGAATGATAATTCGACTGCGGATAGTGGCCCGGAGTTTGATCCATCCAGGGAGCGGGAAGATCATCCGTAAGAAATAATTCTTTTATCGGTAATGATTTTATTTTAGACATCTTTACTGGTAGTGCGACGACAGGTTACTGCAGTATTTCTAGTTGTGCAAATACTGATCAATTGAACGAGATTGAAAATTTTATAAATACTACCTCATTAATGAAAATTGTAAAGGCATCATAAGCAAAGCCCACGAGAGGAGGAATCCCTGTCATCTTTCCTAAAAGTCATCTTTCCTAAAGTCATCTTTCCTAAAGTCATCTTTCCTAAAAGTCATCTTTCCTAAAAGTCATTTTTCCTAAAAGTCATCATTCCTAAAAGTCATTTTTCCTAAAAGTCATTTTTCCTAAAAGTCATTTTTCCTAAAAGTCATTTTTCCTAAAACTAGGTAATCGTAAATTTTTTATTTTTCCTCAATCACTTTTTTCTAAAAACCATTTTTTTCGAAGATTAATTTTTCCTGAAGTTAGGTATGCGAATAGGGATGCCACCTCCGCCTAACTTCAAACCTGCTTCCTGTGTAGAAACGACAAAATGCCTTGAACGCCGTCAGTCCTCATAAAAGTTCTTAGTCGCATCGGAGCCTATCCTATTTTTTGATTTATGAATAGTTTTATGAATCCAAAGATAGCGTAACTTAAATCAAGACATCCCGAAAAGGTCTAGTACGGCATGGAGACATTAAATTTTTACGGCCCGGGCCTCTCCAAAAAAAATTTTTCTTGCAAAAAAACCAACTGAGAAATATTGATTTTTAGGAAAAATGACTTTTAGGAAAAATGACTTTTAGGAAAGATGACTTTTAGGAAAGATGACTTTTAGGAAAGATGGCTTTTAGGAAAAATGACTTTTAGGAAAGATGACTTTTAGGAAAGATGACTTTAGGAAAGATGACTTTAGGAAAGATGACTTTTAGGAAAGATGGCTAAAACCCCGAGAGGAGCAAAGATAGAGAAGAAAGTGTGTGGGAGAAAGAGAGAGAGAGAGAGAGAGAGAGAGAGAGAGAGAAAGAGAGAGAGCGATAGAGAGATATATGAGCTTTTTCAAAGCAGAACTTTTTTCAAAGACAAAAAACACAAAAATAGCCGCATTCAGCTGATTTTTGAGCCAGGCAGAAGCTCATAGTGACAGGTCAGCCCCCTATTCTGATAACACGGTCAATTCTTGACCAAAACTCACTGACACGCGCCGAGTTATCAGCACTGATCAAAAAAAATGACGGCTGACACCTGGTCAAGGTGCCTATTTTGGGCCAGGAAAATCACTCAGGGCCTTTTTTTAGGAAAAAAAAGTACGAACCTTATCGAGAAAACGAACGTTTATAAGCAAATTTTTGTTGATTTAGACCAATTCATTCTTTGGGAACGCTTCCAAGAAGCACCGCCACTCTAATGAAGCCAATTTTTTATTGTTTGTTCGCGTTGCTCTGGGTCTCCGCATCAGGAGTATCTCATATGAATCCTGGGCACTACCTAAAAATGAAAAAGTAGGTCGTTTCCCTTTGGGAGCTTTCACTAAATTTGGACAATCGAATTGAAGCGCTATATAACAGGTAAAGCTTATATTTCAGGGTCGAAAGATGCTTGGACAGCCTAAAACCCGGCGTCTACATAACGCACTGGAAGGAGCATGGAAAGCACTCAAAAATTGGGCACACCGAGCTGCGGAAGCGAGGAGCAGCCTCGGACCATATTTTTGGGCCCATAACCCTGACCGAAATTTGCTTGGGCATCCTGGCGTCCGTGGCGACATTTGGGGATTTTATGCAGCATTATGGTGATTTGTTACAGCAAGAGCCAAGGGTTAGGATGGTAAGTTTTTAGGCTATGACTTTTACCCTTTAATAGTTACACGCATTGACTTTAAAGCTAAAAATGCGATTCTCATATTGATGTTCAACGTCTAGGTGCCATGGAACGCTCAAGAAGTCGGGGCCTATCATCCCCAGCAATCCGGTTATTACGTGGTGCGCAATTTTTTGGAATGGTACGGTCTGGGCGGATCGTACGGAGTATATGCAGGTAATTAAAAAGAGCTTCTTTGATACCAAAAAATGCCGATTAAAATTACGCAATACACGCTAGACATCAGTAGCCAGTGCAGGCCCGTAAGAGGGAGGCGAGGGGGCGAGCCGCCCCGAAATCGGCCGAAGGCCGAAAAGTTCATAGGGGGGACCCTTATGATTTAATTTTTCCAAAAAATTTTTGCCTGCGGCGCTGTTTTTGGCTATTTTTAACACTAGTTTTAGTGTTATAAACTCTATGTTTTCAAAAATTTTGCCTACGGCGCTGTAGTTTTAGTCATATTAGTGAAAAATTTTTGGGGTCGCCCCCCCCCCCGAAATTCGGGTTTGTTACGGCCCTGAGCCAGTGCAAATGATAACAGCGCGCAGAGGACTCACACGTAGTCGTACCCTTTGCTACGCTACGCACCTCTGCTCGCTCTCTTCATGTGCCCTACCCGAATATGATAGTTTTGAAGGTAACAATCCGACCTGAAGACGTTCGCCCCCGCGACGGCAACTTCCCGAGCTCCGTGAAGTATACGCATGGAAACAAACTTGGACGACAGCGCGGGGATGAGGCTGGCCATCTACTAGCTAATACGCTTGGCGGCTCGAACCACTTGATCAACTACATGCCTCAAGCCGCTGCAAACAACGCAAATCGGCATGCCAAATGGATTATGGATAGTTGGTAAGGAAGGCATGAGATTTTATGATGTTTTTTAATGTACATGCACAGGGGCGTAGCTAGAGCCAAATTTCGGGGGGGGCCCCGAAAAATTTTGCGACCTCCCCGGTCACCACTTTCAAAAGATTCAAAAATCGCAGCTATAACAGCGCCGCAGGCCGCAAAAAATAAGGAAAAAGCGTTAGCAACGCTCAAATTCATGTAAAAACATCACAGAAAACGCGCCGCCGGCGAAAATTTTATATGGACCGTTGACACACTAATGAAAAACAGCGCCGCAGGCAAAAAAAATTTTGGAAAAATAGGCTTCAAAGAAGTAAAAACCGTCTTAAAAACAGTAATAAACAGCGCCGCAGGCAGAAAAATTTTTATTGAAAAAATCATAAGGGTCCCCCCTTTTTTGAGCCGATTTTGGGGAGCGGCTTGCTGTTGCCCCCTCATACGCCCCTGGCCGGGCCTTGGTCGGGGGCCGGGCCTTGGTCGGGGGCCGGGGGCCTGGGCCGGGGCCGGGGCCGGAGCCGCTTGCCAGGAGTCACATTCTTAAACTTGTCATTTTTTATTATGTTTCCAGCCGTTTCTTTTATGGAAACATCGAGAACATCGATAAAAATCAAAAAAATTTTCGAAAAAATAGCCATTTTTCGGCCTTCGGCCGATTCGGGGGCACCGGGCCCAGGGGGCCCACCTTACGCTACGTCCCTGTACATGCATGCCTTATGTCTTGCGCGAAGAATACGATACTTGAACAATACGATACGATAGTTGAAAGGAAAGGCAAAAATACCATAAAAACTTGATGAGCTTATTCCGAATTTTTCAGGTTCGCAAACGAGAATCACATTCGCGATTGGTTAAACTGCACCCCCCATAGCCAAGTGGTCTTGAGGGTTGGGCTACGGTACAACAGTGTGCATCATGGAAGGTTGGGTTATTACATACTTTGAAAGTAGCTTTTTAGACCGTACTACATAATGTGGTCGGCCGTGTATATTGTCAATGGTCAGACAGTTCATGTGGTTATTGGCAGCCTGCCAAACAGCAATAATTCGTCACTATCGTAATCACTATAATTAAAAATAAAAATACTAAACTTATGAATAAAGGTTTTTAATACTTAATTCATACCGTTCGGAAGCAGTTAATCTACTACAAAAATAAGAAATCATTTTTAAGGCTAAAAGATGACAATAGACGTCTAGACACTGGACCAGGGATTCGATTTTTTTGAATTTTCCGATATTTCCCACGTTATATTGGACTGCATTTCCTTGCCTTTCGTGCTTTCCGAGTCCATACGTATGCATTTTATACACTAATTACGTTTCCCACTTGCTTTAATCCATTTATTAGGGCCTGCTGCTTTTTTCTGGGTTAAAATTTGTCTAACTAACTTGACTTGCGATCAAATTTAGTAAACCGGATCCGGGTTCCGAAAAAATGTTGCTAATTTCTATCAGTCCTGGTCTGCAAGTTTTACTTAATATAGCCTCAATTTTCGGTAGTTTTTGGAGATATAAATTGGTCTCCACACGTGCTAGGAACACCTGCCCCGGCCCGGGTGGCTACAAACTACATTCTGTGGTGAATAATAGCGCGTGTTGTGTCTCCGACCGGCTGATCCAATTAGAATAAATCGATCTTTGAAAGCCCGTTTTTTGAAGGATCGTTCTGCACTCGTAATAAGAATAACATAGAAAATTTAAATATGGCAAATTTGCAGACGTTCGAAAAACTGGATGGTCTCCGGGCTTCCAGCATTCGGCACGTCGACCGTGAAAGCCACTCGACGCCAGGGATCAGTAAGTTTAAAGCGTACCATATTATTTTTATTAAGCGCTCAATATGCCACTTGCGTTACGTTTATTTTTAGCTATTTATGCAGCTGTTTTTAACTTTTTTTTGGCTTGATTTAGGCTTTTGAAGCTAGCAACGTTCTTTCTAAATTCTTCCTGGCCTCGTAGATTGCCGTTAATACATCTTAATTTATTTACTAATTATCTAGCATTAGAATTCGTCGTTTTAACGTCTTGTTTTAAAGTAGTCAAGATTTTCCGCTTTTTCCAGTGGACCACAGCCCCAGGCGCAGTCCGAAGCGAGTCAAGCTCCCGCGATTCCTTGGGGTTATTCCATATTATTTTTCTAAAATATATTAGCTGCCGTTTTGATAAAATAAGGTTTAAGATTCTAAATGCCTTAAAGTTTTAGTCACATCTAAAATCCGTTAAATCCGACTCTTTAGAGATGGCGCTACGACCGCATCTTCATCGGGATCATCTTGTGCTGTCTGGGCGTCTATGGATTGGTAAAAATGGTCTTAGAAAATTGTTGGGAATTCTTAATTCAGTACGACAGCGACATGCTAATCGATTCTTATCTAAAGGTTGGAAAATGGCACCTTATAAGGATCGGTTTAAATGGGTTTTTATTCTTTGCTGTTGCAAGCCAAAATGTTTACAAAAATGCTTTAAAGAGATTCTTATAAGTTGTACTTTAGCCTTGAGGTGCCATTACGCACAAAATATAACCCGGGCCCCCACTTTTTATTTATACCCAGCCCCGAATCTATTTTTTGAAGGTATATTTTGGCTTTCTGTAGCCCCGGTTTTAACTTGGGAGAGGGCCCTTGGTTTCGGTGTTGGTCTTGATGGCAGAATTGTTAAAGGGTTTGAGAAGTCAAAATCCGGTTTCCATCGAAGAAGGATAAAATTCATCGGATTTTGACTGCCCAGGTCCTTTAATTTTTTTATAACAATAAAATTTGATTTCCTAGGCCTATTGGTGGCTGATGGAGGGCGTTGAGATCGACTACCAGGTGGAGGATATTGCGTCGAGGGATGCCGTGGAAAACCAGGTATTTATTTTTGATTTCTGGATTTTAAGATTTAGTATTTATTTATTATTTAAAATAGTATTGCTACACAGTATTTGATCATTTTTTTAGCTCGGCCTCCGCCAGTCGACCATCGAGGAGCAGTGCTCGAAGACGACGGGGCGCTGTTGGAGGGTGGTGGACCGGCTGATTGAAGAGTGGGTTCAGCTCAAATTTTGTGGTTTCCAATTTGATATAATTTTAATATTAATCATAACTTGTTCTCTAGATCAAGAGCTACATTTTGGTATATTTAACCGCCTCATTGGTCGAAAGGGAGGCTAGATACAGAGGTTTTTCACTGCGCTTTTTTAACCTAAGCGAGTCTAACCGTTTACGGCGTCAAAATATATTGAAAGCCTAGGTTAAATTATTTTCTGATTCCGCAGATCAAGAGCTACATTTTGGTATACTTTACAGCCCTAAAAGTCAAATGAGGTCAAAGAAAAGCGGATTAGGAGTTCTTTTCCAACAGTGGTTGACTTCATGGAGCCAATTTTTATCCGATTACGGCATCAAAATTAACCGAAAATCTTATTTTTGTTTGATTTTCAGCAACCTCGGCTCCTATGCAGAGCGCTGCCTCTTCATGCAGGGCTTCGAAGATGAGAGCGACTCGTCGATTCGCATCATACCACCTGCCGGCACCTCGTCTCTAGGTATCCAAACACATCCTAAAAAATATCATTTTTTCAGCCGAAATCTTCAGCAGCTCGGACAGCCGCTTCTGGCAAATCGACCACACCCAGATCACCGCCCAATACGTCGCCGCCCTTGCCATCGCCCCATTCGTGTTCGGGACCTTTAAAATGGACGATAAGTTGGTTTCTATCCTATATATCCTTTTCTAAACCAGCGGATAAACCCGAGCCATTACAACCACAATTTTAGAAAGGAAAAGCGCTCCCTCCTTGAGATCGGCCTGGGCGGCGGCACCTACGCCGGTTTCATGCGCCACCACCGCCCCAATCTGAACATCACCTCCGTCGAGCTCGACGAGACGGTCATCTACTTGGCCGACAAGTACGATAAAATGGAAAGTTTATGAACGTTTCTAGGTGGTTCGGCTTCAAGCAAAGCCCACTCCTCCATGTGCACGCAGCAGATGGGATTGTTTTTGTCGAAAAGGCGGCGAGACGGGGTGAGGAAAAGAAACTTGCCTTCACTGGTCCTTTCAATACGAATTCTGATTTTTAGGAGAAGCCTGGGACGTGGTCCTGGTAGATGCATGTGATGGGAGTCAAATCATCCCATGTCCGGCGCACGTCTTCCTCAACGACGTGTTCATGGCCGACGTGCGGAAGGTGGTCAAGGATCAGGGTGAGTTGAAGAAAAAGAGAGAGAGAGAGAGAGCGAGAGAGAGAGAAAGAGAGTCAGAGAGACAATTGCCATTTTTGAGCAGCTTCGACTCTGGTTTTCAGGATTACTCATCGTCAACATCCTCGACCTGCACGAAAATGCCGCAAACATTGCTGGGGTAATTTTTACCCAAATTTTTCCAAAAATGAAATTCCAATCCCTAGCCCTAAACCACACATTTTTTTCAGGTCTCCAAGCAGTTTGCCAGCCACTTCCCGACCTGCGCCACGCTGCACATGAATTATGAGGTGGACATTTCTTGAAATTGACCGCCTAACCCTGAGCTTTAGATCAACGTCATCCTCGTCTGCCTACCGTACCAAATTGGGGACGCCGACGCGCAGCTGCGCTTCTTCGAGTCCAGGATTCCGCACGTCGTCGAGCAGCTCGGGTTGAAGAAGCTGTTGCCGCATGTGGTCATCAGCGCCCCGTACAGTAGTCGCTAGGTTGGTATGGAAATGTATGAAGCTGAGCCCAAGCCCAAGCCAAAGCCCAAGTCTGTGCCTAAGTCCCAGAATAAGCCTAATGTAAGACATGGAAAACCTAAGTCCAGCTTAAAAAGTCTAAGCCAAAGAGAAGCCGAAACTGGCACTGTTACTAAGCATAAGCTAAGCCTAAAGCTAAGCCCAGGCTTCATCGTAACCTAAACCTAAGCCTACGTCTCTTCCAAAACCCAAGCCAAAGCCTAAGCCTAAGCCCACAGCTTATGCCCCTACTCTTCAGATCTACTTCATCGATTCAAGCCTTCTACAGCCGTCACGACACCAGAAGCTCATACCTTGCAAAATGCCATAACCCCACAACACATCGACCGCAAAGCTTTATCCCACCACCCCAGATTCTGCTCCACCCATAATCACAGCTGTGATATCCCGCATGTGCCTTCTCCCCCCACCCCACCTGGTTTTGTCGCATACTGTTTTCTTCGTGATTCTAGTCGACCTATGGCATTATTGGTTCTCCATTTTCTGTGCTCCCCCTACTTTTCTCTCTATGCTTATTGTGATGCTACGGGTCCCCTCTCTTTTTTCTGCACATAATAATAGCCATCGTATCCTGCATAAATCGTTGTGAAACGTCAATGAAAAACGAAGTTCCATACAGCACACACAAAAATTGAAAAAATTAGTCGCAATACGCGACAAAACTGACAGCAAACCGTTTTTTTCCAGTTTTTACAGCGGACGGGTTGTGACAACCCCGGATCATAAAATTTGTAGTAGTTTAGAAAGCTTTTTCAAGGGCCGGTCGACTACAACAACTCAGAAACCTTCAGTACAAAGCGCACGAAAAACGCTGTCATGCCGAGCCTGATCTCGGTCGCCAGTCGATTTTCTAAAATCACGAGCAACAGGACTCTGTGATTAAAGTAGGCTTGTATGAAGCGCGCGTGCCAATACTTTCCGAAATTTTTTTCCGATACTTTCCGAAAATTTTTTCGCCAAAAATCCCTAGGCCAAAGAGAAGGGCCGAAAGATGTGAAAGACAAAATCATAGCTTACTTCTTTGCTTTGTGGTTTGGAGGGGCACCAGAATTACCGGAAAATTGACGATAAATCAGTTGATTTTCGGTGAAATGGCTTTTCGTCGAGTTGATTTTTTGGCAAATTGATGCTCCTGATAGAGGTATAGGGGGTGATAGTTGAATTCTACTCGAAAGTTGTTCTGAAGCTAGATTTCCCCGGATCGATCGAACTCTGGCGCAATCAAGCCCAACGATCATGGCCCTCCTCCTCCACTTGGCCGCCTCAAAAAAAAACAGATGGTCCTCCCCGGCGATACCATTTTCTCGAACCAGCGCGCACTCCGGAAATCGATGGCTGCTGGGTGGGGAGGGGCTGATCCACCACATTTGGGCCCGGCCACACGCAGATAGTTTACCCTCATGTTTTCGGGGGAGGGGGGTGGTGTCGCGGCTCCTCACAAATTTGGGACTGTGACAGCTTTTCTTAAGCTTTCAATCATATTGATCGTTGACCCGTAGCGTGGCTCGAAATAACTTTATTAACTCTCTTGGTATTCGCCGATTTGTATTCCGCCCCCCTGCAGCTATTCAGGCCGGGGAAATGGTCTAAAAACCCGATAAAACCTTACTTTTGATTTTTAGCGCGGGTCCCTTTTTGCATTTTTGTCTAGCTTATAAGCAATCGATCACTTTAAAAATTTTCTTAAATGTCACCTTAAAAGGGCACAGCATTTTCAGCAATGTAGAGCTACTAAAATGGCCGAAAAAGCGTCTGGAACCGATTTTTCATCATTTACTTGCGGTTTTTAGCATTTTGCATCTTAAAAATCTTCTGAATACCAGTGCTTCTATTAAAAGCGCTTGTTTTTCTCAGCGTAGGCTGATATTTTTCCTCCAATCATCAAATCGATACCCCTCACCGCATATAGCAGACAGTTAATGAATTCTGAATGGTGACTCAGCTTCTCCTCGATCTTATGGCCCTCCCGGGGCACCTCAAGGTCAAATTTTCTAGAAATTCTGCCTAGACAAAGAGTCACTTATCGATTTTTGCATATTGAAATCAGCTTCTCCTCCTCGGGAGGCGGATGGCATCGTCAAGGGGCGGGCCGGTACCCCACGGGATGTTTTAAAAACAAAAATTGAGCCGCGAGCCCGACGGTCCTACCCCCAGTCCCTCATACCGCACTCCCATTTCTCCGGGCCTTCATCGTGTTTTTCTTATCGATTGGCGTCTGAATCGGACATTATGAAACTAGAGTGGAATGATATCACTACCCCGCCCCATCGTTTTGCAATTACAGTACGCTATCGTGCATTTAGTTCGTTGCAATTTCGATAGCATCAGGCTGCTATAATAGTACTGTTTTCTTAAACCTAAATTGAAGACAATTGTCTTTAATTTTTTTGTGACGACTCTTTGACTTGTCGTTTTAGCCATGCCCTCCTACCAGGCAAACGGCTTCTACGATTGCCCATTCTTATCCGCGCCAGCCGAGCGTCCGTCACAGGTACCAAAGCGGAACTTTCTACCTCGAACTGCTTTCCCTAGGCCCCGCCGGTGGTCAGCAACGGCCTCAATCTCGACCTGGACGGGTTGATCGACGACATCAATGCGATGACGACCTCTGATCCAAAAGACGAGCCGAAAGTTGAAGGTATCAAACTTTTGCCGATCTCGAAGTGCGTTTCAGCTAGCCATTGCGATGCCGTGCAGCAAACTGCAGCACGTTCGATGGTTCAGTTGTGGAATGAGTGGGCGGCCAACCCCGAGCTGATCATTTATAAACGTAATTGGGTTGCTCACTTCGATAGTCGTGCCAAAAAAAAAAGTTTTAAGCGCCGTTTTGGGATAGCCTTAGATTCTCATAATATATTTCTGTTTTAAAGGGACTGGAAAGGCAGGGCCGATTTTTTTTGCGTGATCGCTGTATCTGATGAAAATGCACGATTTAAAGCGGTTATAGTTTTTCAGGATAATGCCAGCAGAGTACTAAGGCTACCTATCCATTGACTGTTATCACTAGCTTTTTAGCCAAACCACCGCGGAGGCTTGGACGGCCGCCTGGTCCGCAACGCATCAAGTCTCCAAAGCGGTGCATGAAAGGGTAAATTTTGCGAATTCTTTAATTCACAAAAGTCTATTTAATTAGGCTGCAGGTTTTGGTGAACCTATGCATTACTTAGGTTCATAGTTCATTCGTTAATTTTTTGCATTCATCCCAAGGCTGACGTTTCGGGATGATTGCAAAAAAAACTCGGCCGGGTTAGAAAAGATAAAAACAGCCAAAAACCTAAAAATAAATAGCCGAAGCTATCCTAAAATTTAGTGGTCCGGTGCGTGAAGTTGTCGCACCCCAGGATCCATTCATGCGCCGGGGCGGGGTCCAGGGAGAGCCAATGGAGCCGCGGAAGAAGCGCCCCTACACCCGGCGAGCACCTGTTAACGGTATCAAACGAACTTTTATGACCTTTTGGTCTCAAATTTTACTATTCAGTAAGAAGACAACCAATCAAACAACAACAACAACAACACCCAACTTATCAATATGTAACTCCAGGTAAAACTCAGTGTGAAGATTCCAAAACCGTCTTGTCCAGCCACTAACCAACTCTTTTTCTTCCAACAACCCGTCGCCCAGCATGGGAATGGTATTAACAAGATCTAACAGCATGTATCGATACTTGTAGCTTATACCAAGCCTGCCACCCGACCAAGCATCTTTGGCGACAGCCGGCCTGGAAAAGGTTGTGATTTCAAGGAACGAGCAAGGCA